TTACATCACCACCATCGTTACAACATTCTCGCCAAGTATCGATGGTCAACTAACTCGAGTCTTTGAAAATCGGCCATTCAGAGAGGTCATATCCCACAGCCGCAGGTTAGTGTGGAGAGACTCCACTTGGTGTGACGGTCTGTGTGCCTCCATGGCCCATTGGATGAGGTATGTATGTGACACCCGCAGTCTCCCATACCAGGCTGGTCGATGGTCTGACTAGCAGTCTCCCGGTCCTTCAGGTTGGGGGTCGGAACAAATGGAAAATATCAACCTAGGATTTGTGCTACTTACGCGACCACAGGTAGTGTGAACTGGTGACTTTTCCACTTTTGTAACTGTCACGAATCATCCAATAGGCACGCAGAGTGTAGAAAGATATTTGCAAAAAGACGAAACTTTATGAATACCTGATCGTCTGAATATGTTTGCCGAATATAGCACCGACGGAAACCGGATGAATTCTCAGTTGTGAGGGCCAAATGACTTCGCTGTCTGCTTTTGCGTTGCGTTTTTGGAGCTTTCGGTAGTCCACTTTGTTGTGAAAACTGTTCTCACTGAGTACTACTGGTCATGTAGTGACTGTCATCATTGAGGTTCCGAACATAAGTCGTTTCATGGCACAGTGGGACACATGGATGAATGTGCCAATTGGTTGGTACGTATATGCATGTCTCGAGATCGACATGGTTCCTGGTTACGGTGCGAATGTGCTGACCGGAAGGTCCGTGGTTCGAACCCGACCTCTGCCTCTCGACTTCCCCTGTCTAGACTTGGGTAACCTGGCAGTATTTCAGTCCTTGTGCCTCCTTCGAGTGATGTGGCAGCTGGGCACCGAAAGCGCACTACAGCTGAACGATTATAGTATTACATGCAAATAGTACTTACTCGGCGAACTGAACACCTGTGCGGCAATAAAAAAAATAGTACCCACAGTAATGACTGGACATTTTTCTGTCTGAGACTTTCCTACGTTCGTGTACCGGAAACATGTAGCTGGAAGCTATGCTCAGCTGAAAATATGTTAAGAATATTCATTTCAAGTAAATATGGGGTACCATTAAGATACTAACCTATGGTATGCACACATCGTAAAAGCTTGACAACTACATGGCAGCTTTTAAAGCACCGCCGTTTTTATTATCCATTTTGGCTAAGCGCAAGAGAAATCAACTGCGCTACATTCCTTTCATTATGTTTCGAACGTTTCCCCCTGCCCAAGTTTGTTTTGCGTGGTATAAACCGACAATAGAGTAAACAATCGGTTGTGAACAAATGCGCTACTGCGTGTTCATCCAGTTACCAAGCTGCTTCCGCCATGACACTATTTCAGTGCATCGGAGCCACGCATCCGGAAGACAGAACAATAGCTGAGCTACTGTCAGGCTGTCCAAACCCAGAAAGGAGCAAAGGTTAGATGCAGAAGACCAACTTTCCGGTCAAGCGCCAGCTATTTTAACCACTGACCCGTCCAGGGCTGGTCACACTATTTGACCAAAGGTGTCTGCTTCGCTCGAACTAAATTGTTTGATCCAGTAACAATCGTCCACGCTGAGACGTCGGAAACGCGGTTCGACCAAGCTGCTACACCACACGGCTACATATGTGCATGACTCACGGAACATCAAATGTTCAGAGAGGCTACAGATAGACAAATTCCTCATATGACTCAGTAAACACTTATTTCGTAGCCACAGTTAATCTTCTCAAGTTCCGGAAATGCGAAAAATCTGACTCTGCCCTCACTGGGTATCTTAAAAAAATTCGCTGAAAAATCAGCTCTCTGTCTTGAAAAGACGATCACGCGAAAGCCAATTATCGTATCATGGAGAATACCACCGACACATTGTACTTTTTGTGTACTTCGGCAAAAGCGCACGAACACGATTGGTCCTGTGCGGTCAAACTAGTATCAACCCCACCATAAGCACCACCCCTGGGGAACGCAGAGAATGGTCTTTGTCTGCGAAAAGGTCTAACAGGGACGAACGNACGTACTCGGCATTCACCTTGTCCGTAAGGGTGAGCTGTCTGGTCTGTGAAAAACGAAGTAAGCGGTATTGTGCCTGAGCACACCTAAACTGGTCTCAGACCACTTTGAACCGCGTGCTTCTTGTGTGAAGTAATGGGAAAAAAGCGCTGAGCGATGGTGTTTGGAAACATGGGTTTTAGCCACTCGAACTGCCGAAAATCAGCCGGGAAAGTGAGAAAAACAATAGATAATTATCGATTTCTACAAACCATGGGGGCATGCACGGCCAGTTCTCTCCCGCCGGTCCGTTGGGCCCTACCATCTAAGTTTCACTGATTTTGTTTCCTTCATTAGGCGGGACAGTCGTTATGATGCTCTTTGCCTGTCGCCGGAAGAATGCGACATCTGAAAGATGGTCAGTGCCAAGACACAAGGTGTCAAATTGATTTTGACAAGTGACCGCTCCTGAGCTTCAACGTCCTGACCAAAAGAATCACAGGTCTGGACCTTCCCTCTCCTATCTCCTAGGATGAGCAAACGGGTAGAACCCTAGTCCTCTCGCTTTCTAAAAAGCGACATCACACGTGAACGATTGGGTTTGAACTACTGATGGTTACCCTCGACTTTTGTTAATCCTCTCGGCATGTTGGATGCGTCAGACAAAAACACAGGAGTTTTGTCCGTGAGTTGCGACGAAATCTCCTGCTATGAATCTACAAGTAGCTCACAGGAAGATTAAGTCCACAAAATGAAAAGTTTTCACTAGAAGAGCCAGTCAATATGCAGTCGTGTGATCTGGTTTCTATGACTGAAGCATAAGCGGGGCTATTTCCTGTCTACGTGAGAGCGAATCATTACACAAGTGATCAGCCAACCGCGGTCAGACGGTTAGGTTTTCAACCAATGGCGAGTTTGGAACTCTGAGTTTCGTGATTTCCAATAAGGATAAAACAGTCTCTACAGCGTGTTTCGGCTTTCAGCAGGCAGTGGCCTCAAGTCCCCCCAAGCCACGATCATTCTCTTTTACCGGAAATCAAACAATGTGAAATCAACCGATATTTCATCGTGTAAGTGAATCGAATCTATGTAATTCACTACTCATAAGGTTGCTGAAAATCCGTCAACAGCCCACGACCGGTTTCGCCCTTCTTGGGGCTCATCAGGTAGGCGCAGTCCCCGTGTTCCCGTCAACCTTATGTTCTACTTGAAACTAAATCGCACGAAATTAGCGAATATACACTCATTTGCAAACTAATTTGGTTTTTTGAGAGACTCACCTGGAACGCAGCTGAATCTCTCGTTTGTGATGTTCTATGCCGAATAGCTGAGTTAATCACACTGATGATCGGCCTATTGCGGACGGACGGTTTAGTGTTCAACAAGTAGCCGGTATGTAGCGGGTTGAAAACCCCCTACTGGAGTTTGGTGAGATATACACTGCCGATAATTTCCAATGAGGATGGAAAATATGTACAAGGTCTCTGGCCTTTTTGTCTTAGAGTGAATCAACTTGATACATGCCATTCTAAAAGGGACAGCTTGAAAGGCATTCACCATCATCATCGTGGACGGCATGTCATTGGCGTTCAACACTGATACTTCAACGCTGTTCAACCATGATTTATCTCGAGAGGCATTATAAAACACACAGCAAGCAAATAAATGTAAATCGCTTTGATTTCGGTAGAGGTTCAATAAACTTTTAAGTGCATATTTTTTTTGGCTCACAGCAGCGCACTAACTGTGATTTACGTACACACCCAAGTGCCTACAAGGAAATCGCGACCCGTCATTAAACACGTGATGCTAGAATGAGGGACACAAAAGACTCAGCGCAAGGGGTTTTATTCTTGATCTCTATTGAAAGGAGCCCGTGTTTGGAGAAATATGAGGTTATCATTGTCTACACAAAAGCAGTTGACAAAAATCGTACAGCTGTAGCACCCTTTCGGTGCCCACTGCCCTGCCGTTGCACGAGGGCTGGGATACTGCCAGGTTGCTCAAGCCTAGACAGGGGAAGTCGAGAGGCAGAAGTCGGGTTCGAACCACGGACGTTCCGGTCAGTAAATTCGCGCTCTAACCACTTGGGCCATCTCGCCCCACAGAAGCAGTTGAGGTGCTGATGTTAGATTCGAACCACAGATCTTCCGGTCGATAAGTTCGCATCTTGACCACTGAGCTATCTTTGTCAGAAGTTAGACATGACATCAGCTCGAAGTTAAATCTTAGGTGATCTGACTTAGGTGAGGTTAGGTTTGCAAACTATGTCCGGGCAACGCTCATACAGTACCTGTGGAATTCCCATGCTTGACATCGTGGCCTGATTGTAAAATATGCGTCCAAAGTGATCACGGTCAGGAAACACTTCATCCTGGCGTGGGAGGTTGGCACCGCCAGAATCAACTAGATGAAAAGTTCAAAGGATAAGGAGGAGAGATATGTTAGGTAGGGGAGAGTATAGCCGAGATTAGATCTCATCCTATACACCTCATGATCGATCTTCGGTTATATTGTCAAAACAAGCCGGTTCGTCTCAGAAATGCAAGCCCAACGGGGAGGATGGATTGATGTACACCCAACGTTTGGATTCAAATCATAGTTCCTTCGGTCACAAGCTCACTTCTGCTTTATCTAAGTCAAGCAAAGTAGCTAATGTAGCTGAAGCTGCTTAGTAAGCGGACTTCATGTCGTGTTGAGTAGCAAAGATATGCTACAGATACGCGGAATACTTGAGTGGGGTTCAAGATGAAGCTCTGAACTCTGAGGTCCATGGGTGGAGACAAGTCAAAGATACTCCATTGCTCTTAGATAGACTTCGACAACCTGACAACATACCGGATCTCGCATCGTGTGTTGAATGAGGGGTTAACCTCAATAAGCCATCTACAGGGTTGGATCAAACAACTAGCAAACACTAATCAGTGACACTAAATAGTAGCTCACATCCCTGCAGCTAACATGTTAAACATAATGACGTGGCTTCATACATATGCAGAACATTTTGAAAAAGTCCGAATCAATAAAAACAATCATCATCAGAGACAGCAACATTAGTGTTGACACTGCTAGTTCACTACCGTACAATCACAAAGTTCATTTCATTGCACAGGCGTTATACACTACTTATAAGGTTGCTGAGAACTGTTCGACTTCACTTGGTTGTGATGCTAGTCTGAGGCATGCATTCTGTGCTGCCTACGCTTCCAAGCGGTCAATCAAGCTATCTGGAAGGAAACTGAGAGCAGGAACGCTACTGACATCGATTAGCCGCCATTTCCTGCAAAGTCTCGAGCCAAGAACAGAGGGGGTTCACGGGCATCTCACCCTGAAAGGTAAACCGCAACTAAACTCTTCGTGGTCTGTTTCATACCCTTTTGCCAAGTCATACCTTGTCCACATCACAGTTCGAGCCATTCTGAGCAGCACGGAGAACAACCAGTCTCGGTGGACAGACATACGTAGCACATGACCGAATCACCACATTCGACGTTGCTAGGTGTTTTCCACGACTGAGGTACCCAACACACGACCCGTTTTCGGATTATCCATTGAAGCTACTCAACATCAGAAACAATTCTGAGACACTGGTGGTGATAAACCTTAAGACACCTCACATCATCTGCCTACAATGATCATGTCTCGCGACCATGCGATGGGAGGCATGTGCTTGATTTTCGTCTATGGGGATGAGAATGAAATCGTCTGCGTACTTGAGATCGACAATATTCCCACCAGCAACGATTTGAACACTGGGGATCTGAAATCAGTGATGAAGTCAAACAAGAATGGAGAGAATGGACATCCCTGCCGGACAAACACTATTTGTGGAGACATTTGTAAAGAGCTCACCAAACACTCTTGTTCAGAAGTGTACGGATATAAGGGCCGGATTGTGTTCACAAATTCTTGGAGCATCCAGTGCCCAGTAAGTGTAGTTAAGAGCACTGACCGGACAGCAGAATCGAGTGCATTCTTGTGAGTCATCTGTACATACGGCATTGTATTAATAACTAACGGAGTGTGAAGATGTGGTTGACGCAGCCTCTGCCCGATCGAAATCCCATGGGCCAAGGTTTCGAGCGCCCCCGTAAGACAACGAAGAATCAGTGAATCCAGATGTCTTGTTACAATAGAAGTCAATCTGACGCCCCTGCAATCACCTATTCACTCCTGGTAGCGCTTTTGAAGGCGGGAACTATTATCGACTCGAACCGGTTGTCCTGGATGGTCTACCATTCCTAGATAGACGCAAATAGTCTAGGCGGGCCCTGGCCGAGGGATTCATCACCGTCCATGAACAAGGTAAGTGGAACATCGCCAGGACCAGGCGCTCGATGACCACTAAGTAGAGATATCCAATCGGGCATTTTTGAGGTCGAAGAGAGGTCCATATTCACAGTCTATGTTTTTGTTAAAGATCGACAGTCCAAACTGAAGGTAGCAGGTGGCCAACCGAATTGTGATTTCAAGGATTGTCTGGCAATCCAGACGTTTCCTTTGTTGGCTATAAGAAAGTCATTTCACTCGTTGGTGGTTGCGCCAACCTTCCCATCTGCACGGACACAGTTTTACCTGACGTAGGATAGGGAGACGAGTTGCGGTTGCGATTAGGAGCGATCTGTTAGCGGTCCTCCAGCAAAGCCACGGTCCCATTAAAGATCCAGTGCTGGGATGAAGTTGGCTGGTAGGTTTTTCGTTACTGAGTAGCGTTGTACACAACTGTCTCTAGTGATCGTTAACATCCGACGTCGGTCCAGCCGGCAGCATTAGAAGAGCCCATTCTGATAGATTTGTTTGGCCGCTGGGCCCACTAGCTTCCCAAGGAGTAAGCGAAGAGTACACGTTTTGCGTAAACCTGAAAAGCGTCGTGAGAATCAGCACCAGACAAGTGTATGGTTGGAGTACATGTATGTATCCCTGACGATGCGGCGGGAAGTAATCAATGCTCGCCGTAACTGATGACAATGTGCTCTACTTGGGACGAGATAGCCCAATTGGTTAGATCGCGAATTTACCGACCAGAAGGTCCGTGGTTCGAACCCGATCTCTGCCACTCGAGTTCCCCTGTCTAGGCTTGGTCAACCTGACAGTATCCCAGCCCTCGTGCTTTCTCCGAGTGGCATGGCAGCTAGCGAGAGAGAGTGTTACAGCTGAACGATTTTTTACGTCGTCCGTGCGTCTCGTATCCAGCTCAGGACGACCAGCCAATTTGGCTTTGGCAGTTCTTAGTCTGCCTACCTGTCAGCAGAGCCTCATAGAGATTATGGCAGATTCGGAGCCATAGTCAGTCGGGACATTAGCAGACACGATAGAGTGCAGAGATTCTTTGACAGAAGTTGACAAACGAACCGAGCAGGGACAACTATCAACGGGCACCCAAACAAGTAGAGTAACATCTGCTCGATAAATTAACTTACAGCTCGCCACCGTACACCCGGCTGTAGGTACTTCTGTCATCAGAAGTGCACAGCCAGAAGCGGTAAGATACTGACGGGACATTCAGTTGAATTACAGTACTTTCGTCCTTAATTCTGAAGGACAGCATACACCAATAAAGCACGCAAGCAAGAACCACTTTGTGTCCTGCTTAATTCAGGATGAAAACACTAAAGACAGTGGAGTAGACCGGATTTCGAGGTTTTGAAACTGAGTTCGGAGAGTTTAGGGTTGTTGGTGAAGATGGGCGCATGCACCACGCTGAGCGTGATACATAGCGACCAGAGCGTCTCTCCTTAGTTCTGGAACCTGCAGATAGAGTATTCAAATTGCAGTGGGGTTGAGGGAATAGGCAAAAATATAAGGGGGAATTTGACAGTTGCATGTTTTCGCTTGCCCACAATGCTGTATGTGGCAAGGAAGGAGACTCGGCTGATGACATCACGCGACGGTCGGCTTCGAATGAGGATATCTCGAGTGATGCTCACTGTTGCATGCAAGCTCCGATACTGTCAGGACGCCAGCAGCTAGAAAGGAGGACGATCAAGGTACTTATCCAAAACCCAACCGCAATGCAGCGGGTGGGTGCCGGCATATACTATAGTAGTGCAAGGTTCTTATGCAACAAGGCACCGTGCTTTTTCCAACCCCCAAACTGCAGGATTAGGAGACTGCGTTCGACAGACCTGTAGTCACGGATCGATCTGGTTTGAGAAACTCTGCAAGAATCAACGTGTAAACTCCAGTATAACTCAGTGGGTCATCGAGATAAGGTTGTTTCTTTGCAGCGGAGTTTGGAATAACCGGCATATTAAGCACAAATGAATAAGTATTCCAAGTGGTATCACCAAATTAAACACTATTTGAACTGCAAACACTTATTTACACACGCATACAATGCACAGGTACGATGAACCCATTTCGTAGTGAATTCGGCTACAAGCAAACATCTTTCCAGATCGTTATATGGCCGATACTGCTAAGCTCAAGAATCCACTCTGCCCCGGTCAACAGGGCTAGAGGGGATCGTCATATCACCCAACCACAAGATGTCCAAAGTAATAACACAATAATAACGATAATAACAGCTCTTCTGTAACAACTCAAAAGAAGTGTGAAGGCTGAAGTAGTGTTAGGTTGCCCAGGCCTAGACACGACCAGACGAAAAGCTAGGGATGGGTCTGAACCAGTCACTAGTTTAGCGCCTTAACCATCGGGTTACCCTGAGCTCCCAGTAGCACATGCCGAAATACGATGTTGGAGCGTGAGGGGAACAGAAATAACGTTCAGAAGAATTCATCCATTAGCACACCATCCAACTGAATGTGCTGTCTCATGCTTTAGTTGGCACGATAGGCCAGTATAGCAATTATATTGTATGGATGTAACGCACTACTCAAGATTGTCAAAGCGGTTTCAGCAGCCCTAGGAACAGTGTTACGCTAAACGCTTAACAGCCTCCCA